ACACTACTACACACTACTATACACTACACTACTAAACACTACACTACTACACACTACTACACACTACTATACACTACACTACTACACACTACTATACACTACACTACTACACGCTACTACACACTACTACACACTACTATACACTACACTACTACACACTACACTACACTACTACACACTACACTACACTACAACACACTACTACACACTACACTACTACACACTACACTACACTACTACACACTACTATACACTACACTACTACACACTACACTACACTACTACACACTACACTACTACACACTATTATACACTACACACTACTATACACTACTACACACTACACTACACTACTACACACTACACTACTACACACTATTATACACTACACACTACTATACACTACTACACACTACACTACTACACACTACACTACTACACACTACTATACACTACACTACTACACACTACACTACTACACACTACACTACTAAACACTACACTACTACACACTACACTACTACACACTACACTACTAAACACTACACTACTACACACTACACACTACTAAACACTACACTACTACACACTACACTACTACACACTACTATACACTACACTACTACACACTACTATATACTACACTACACACTACTATACACTACACTACTACACACTACTACACACTACACTACTATACACTACACTATACACTACACTACTACACACTACTATACACTACACTACTACACACTACTACACACTACACTACTACACACTACTATACACTACACTACTACACACTACACTACACTACTACACACTACACTACACTACTACACACTACACTACTACACACTACACTACTACACACTACACTACTACACACTACACTACTACACACTACTACACACTACACTATACACTACACTACTACACACTACTATATACTACACTACACACTACTATACACTACACTACTACACACTACTACACACTACACTACTATACACTACACTATACACTACACTACTATACACTACACTACTACACACTACTATACACTACACTACTACACACTACACTACTACACACTACTATACACTACACTACTACACACTACACTACACTACTACACACTACACTACACTACTACACACTACACTACTATACACTACACTACTACACACTACTACACACTACACTACTATACACTACACTACTACACACTACACTACACTACTACACACTACACTACACTACTACACACTATTATACACTACACACTACTATACACTACTACACACTACACTACACTACTACACACTACACTACTACACACTACTACACACTACTATACACTACACTACTACACACTACACTACTACACACTACACTACTAAACACTACACTACTACACACTACACTACTACACACTACTAAACACTACACTACTACACACTACACACTACACTGCTAAACACTACACTACTACACACTACTATACACTACACTACTAAACACTACACTACTACACACTACTACACACTACTATACACTACACTACTACACACTACTATACACTACACTACTACACGCTACTACACACTACTACACACTACTATACACTACACTACTACACACTACACTACACTACTACACACTACACTACACTACAACACACTACTACACACTACACTACTACACACTACACTACACTACTACACACTACTATACACTACACTACTACACACTACACTACACTACTACACACTACACTACTACACACTATTATACACTACACACTACTATACACTACTACACACTACACTACACTACTACACACTACACTACTACACACTATTATACACTACACACTACTATACACTACTACACACTACACTACTACACACTACTATACACTACACTACTACACACTACACTACTAAACACTACACTACTACACACTACACTACTACACACTACACTACTAAACACTACACTACTACACACTACACACTACACTACTAAACACTACACTACTACACACTACACTACTACACACTACTATACACTACACTACTACACACTACTATATACTACACTACACACTACTATACACTACACACTACACTACTATACACTACACTATACACTACACTATACACTACACTACTATACACTACACTACTATACACTACACTACTACACACTACTATACACTACACTACTACACACTACACTACTACACACTACTATACACTACACTACTACACACTACACTACACTACTACACACTACACTACACTACTACACACTACACTACTACACACTACACTACTACACACTACACTACTACACACTACACTACTACACACTACTACACACTACACTACTATACACTACACTATACACTACACTATACACTACACTACTACACACTACTATATACTACACTACACACTACTATACACTACACTACTACACACTACTACACACTACACTACTATACACTACACTATACACTACACTATACACTACACTACTATACACTACACTACTATACACTACACTACTACACACTACTATACACTACACTACTACACACTACTACACACTACACTACTACACACTACTATACACTACACTACTACACACTACACTACACTACTACACACTACACTACACTACTACACACTACACTACTACACACTACACTACTACACACTACACTACACTACTACACACTACTATACACTACACTACTACACACTACACTACACTACTACACACTACACTACACTACTACACACTATTATACACTACACACTACACACTACTATACACTACTACACACTACTACACACTACACTACACTACTACACACTACACTACTACACACTACTACACACTACACTACTACACACTACACTACTACACACTACACTACTAAACACTACACTACTACACACTACACTACTAAACACTACACTACTACACACTACACTACTACACACTACACTACTATGCACTACACTACTAAACACTACACACTACACTACTACACACTACTACACACTACACACTACTATACACTACACTACTACACAACTACACACTACTATACACTACACTACTACACACTACTACACACTACACTACTACACACTATTATACACTACACACTACACACTACTACACACTACACTACACTACTACACACTACACTACTACACACTATTATACACTACTACACACTACACTACTACACACTACTATACACTACACTACTACACACTACACTACTACACACTACACTACTAAACAATACACTACTACACACTACACTACTACACACTACACTACTACATACTACACTACTACACACTACACTACTATACACTACACTACTAAACACTACACTACTACACACTACTACACACTACTACACACTACACTACTACACACTACTACACACTACACTACTACACACTACTATACACTACACTACTACACACTACTAAACTACTACACACTACACTACTACACACTATTATACACTACACACTACACACTACTACACACTACACACTACACTACTACACACTATTATACACTACACACTACACACTACTACACACTACACTACTACACACTATTATACACTACACACTACACACTACTATACACTACTACACACTACACTACACTACTACACACTACACTACTACACACTACTACACACTACACTACTACACACTACACTACTACACACTACACTACTACACACTACACTACTACATACTACACTACTAAACACTACACTACTACACTACTAAACACTACACTACTACACACTACACTACTACACACTACTATACACTACACTACTACACACTACTATATACTACACTACACACTACTATACACTACACTACTACACACTAATACACACTACACTACTATACACTACACTACTACACACTACTACACACTACTACACACTACACTACTACACACTACACTACTAAACACCTACACTACTACACACTACACTACTACACACCTACACTACACTACTACACACTACACTACACAACACTACACTACTACACACTACTATACACTACACTACTACACACTACACTACTACACACTACACTACTAAACACTACACTACTACACACTACTACACACTACACTACTACACACTACACTACTACACACTACTATACACTACACTACTACACACTACTATATACTACACTACACACTACTATACACTACACTACTACACACTAATACACACTACACTACTACACACTACTACACACTACACTACTACACACTACACTACTACACACCTACACTACACTACTACACACTACACTACACTACTAAACACTACACTACTACACACTACTATACACTACACTACTACACACTACACTACTACACACTACACTACTAAACACTACACTACTACACACTACTACACACTACACTACTACACACTAATATACACTACACTACTACACACTACTATATACTACACTACACACTACTATACACTACACTACTACACACTAATACACACTACACTACTATACACTACACTACTATACACTACACTACTACACACTACTACACACTACTACACACTACACTGCTACACACCTACACTACACTACTACACACTACTACACTATACACTACACTACTATACACTACACTACTACACATTACTACACACTACTACACTATACAGTACACTACTACACACTACTACACTACACACTACACTATACACTATACACTACACACTACACTACTACACACTACTACACTACACACTACACTACTACACTACACTACTACACTACACACTACACATTACTATATACTACACTACACACTACACTACTACACTACACACTACACATTACTATATACTACACTACACACTACACTACTACACGCTACTATAGCCGGTCCCTCACCGAGGTGGCTGATGGTTTCCCGCACGGACGCCGTGAATCCCGGCCGTGCCGTGCCGTCAGCAGGGTCGACGGCGACGGCCCTGCGGAGAGCAACCAGCACCGGCACCGTGACCAACCGTGACCGGTACCGGCGGGGTGTGTACGTGTGTGCGTGTGTACGTGTGTGTACGTGTGTGTACGTGTGTGTACGTGTGAGTGCGTTGGCACAGTAGGGGGCACAGGTGGTGCATCAGCCAGTCATCTCAGTCAGTCGACCCGTGGCACCTGGGTCTGCCCCGTGACCTCCTGCCAGCGGGCGTTCGACACTTCACGTGGCCTCAAGGTGCACATAGCCTGGCACAAGCGTCGTGGTGACGTCACCGCCACTTAGTGGCGAATGGCGGTTGTTGTTGTTGTTGTGAGTGCGTGCACGTGTGAGTGCGTGTGAGTGCGTGTGAGTGCGTGTGTGCGTGTGTGCGCTTGCGTGTGTGTGCGCGAGTGGGGAGCGGTAGTGGTAGCGGCTAGCGCTACGCTAAGCTACGAACCCGGCGACCCGGGTTCGATTCCCGCTCACCTGCCAACACCGGTGACGATTATCTGAACCGGTCCTGGGCCTCCCCGTGGCCGACTCGTCCTCAAATGATTACCTGGTGTGCCGTGCCGGCCACGATAGGTGCTCGCTAACAGCACTTGCTCCCAATAGTCTGCTCAGGCTATATGGGTGATCTTTGTCTTTGTGTGTGTGTGTACGTGTGTATGTGTACGTGTGTGTATGTGTACGTGTGTGTATGTGTACGTGTGTGTACGTGTGTGTATGTGTACGTGTACGTCGAACACAACCCCCTACCTCCTCGCTGGTGCCGGACGACAACGGCGTGGTGGATGGGAGCAAGCCATGGGGTGAGCGGACAATTCCAAAATCGGCTCGACCCCTTCATGGAATTTGTAGCCACCACAGCGGCCAAACGGGGGCTCTGGAGGGGTGCTATGGGCTGGTAACCCCTCCACCTTCAATTAATTACCACGAAACCACGCGATAAAAAGAGAACAAAGCTAGTGCCGGTGGTGGGTGTACACCCAGGACCCCATTCAAACCGACAGGGAACTGGTTTCAGCTAGCTGATGAAAGTTGCAAGCGAGAAATACGTCACCGCTTGCGGCTGGGGTTGGCATCGTCCCCCACTCCTCCTGATGCCGAGGGGAAATGGGCGAGGTTTAGGACTGTGGCTCATGCAGCTGCAATGGCTGCTTTGGGTGTATGGTCGAAACCTCCGCAGAGACCCTGGCTGACAGAGGAGGTGTTCCGGCTGGCTGAGAAAAAGCGACAGGCCCACTCTCACCGTCTACAGCATCCCACGTCAGAGAATGAGGAGGCTTACCGCAGCCTTCGCTCGGAGGTTCGGAGAGCCGTGAGGCGCTGCAAGGATGGGTGGTGGTCGCGGGTTGCTGAGGAGATGGAGTCTGCCTCAGTAGCCCGCGGTCACAAATAACTCCATAAAAAAGTAACTTGCAGTGCCACACCTATCAGAATCGTTAGGGGAAAGAAAGGTGATCTGATCACCGACCCCCAGGAACAGGTTTGTAGATTTGCTGAGTATTTCTGTGAGGTCTTGGCGGAGGGGAAATCCCTCAGCCTGGAAAACATCGTGGCACAAAGTGAGGATGACCCTGCTGAGGCTGCGGTGCCTCAAATATTGGAAGTAGTCACCCCCTGTGAGTGGCTGGCTGAGGTGCCATCTGTTGAGAAAGTAGAGAAGCCGATCCAGAGTCTGAGACCAGGAAAGGCAGCGGGCAGAGATGATCTCCCAAGCCAAATGCTGAGGGAGGGTGGCGTTTGTACACAGACTGTCCTACATGACATCATAACAACAGTCTGGACCACTGGACGGGTTCCGCAGGATTGGAAGGATGCCCTGGTGGTCCCTCTCTTTAAGAAGGGGGGCCGCACAGACTGTAACAACTACGGAGGCATCTCCCTCCTCTGTGTGCCGGGAAAAGTCTTGGAAAGGATTATTCAACATCGCCTTGCCAGGCACGCTGAGGAGAGACTTGCGGAGCCCCAATGCGGTTTCAGGAAAGGGCGGTCCTGCACAGATGCCATATTTTCCATCCGTCTGCTACAGCAAAGTTATAGGGAATTCGAACAAGACCTACATCTCTGCTTTATTGACTGGATCAAGGCCTATGACGCCATCAGTAGGCCTGGGCTCTGGGCTGTTATTTGTGCTTTCGGAGTCGCTGACCCTCTGCTCACGATCATTAAGGACCTTCATGAGCGGGCCCAGGTAAAACTACGTGGCCGGGAGTCGGAGCCATTCCCTGTTCACCTTTTGGTGTGACAGCGATGTCCTCTGGGTCCCACATTATTTAACCTCTGTTTCGACCACGTAGTTTGTGAAGCCTTCAATGGCTGTACCGGAGGAATTCCCATCTGGCACAGATACAATGGGAGGATGATTGATGCCCGGGTGCGGTCATGGGATGGCTCCCGATTGCTCAACCATGTTACGTTTGCCGGTGA